CATCCTCTACGTCGATGTGTTCTTTACTTGGGCAACGTTTGACGAAGATAAAGCCGAGAAATTCGCCAAACATCTTTCCCTCACATTTACCTCATATTTCTTATATATACATACAATAACATCCTATGAACCAACCACTTTCCTCTTTTATGGAAACATCACCCTATTTCCAAAGCCAGGCAAACCTCCCAACAGCTGAACTTCCTACAGGCCCATTTGCTTGTTCAGATACCGAAGAAATGGCTTTCTTCTAGTAACACAACCTTCAAGGCCTAATGATAGAAGTTTCTTGGGTCCTTGTAGAATCTCTTTTTTTTTTTTTTTTTTTTTTTTTTTTTTTTCTTCCCTACCTCGCCTTTTAGGCTATACGGGATTTTCCCGGGCCGGGGGGTGAGGGCGGGGAATTTAAAATCCCCTCCGGCACCTGGACGCGAACTCGTACTTTTTATATCATCTCAAATCTCTGTTATCCGGTTGCCAGGCAACGAGCGGTGCTGTTACACACGCTTTAGCCTATTCGGCCACCCCGCCCCTCCTTGTAGAATCGGCTCTAAGCTAATTTTTTAGTGGTTATACCAACACAAAAAAAAATTAATATTTCAGCAGCAGGATTTTATGTATTTTAGATCTCCCTGAACGTTTGAAGTATCCATTTTGCTTGTTTTTATAAAAAAAAAAACATGATGGCATAATGAATTCTAAAAATACAATCAACTTATTTTTGATTTTCCCTTTTTGAAAGTTGTTGTCGATACAAAATTATAATTGTATGTCGTCCAATAATGTGATATTTTGCAATTTTCGAAAAGAAAAGTAACATTAAATTGAAAACAGAAAGAAATTTCTGAAAAAAATGGCGGAAAATACAAATATTACAACTCTTTTTAAAAATAAATTCAGCTTCTCATAGTTTACACAAAGGTACTTGATGTAAACAATAAAGATAAAAGTGCATAATAAAGTAATAAAATTTAAACAATAAGGCAACAATATTCTGCCCCTGAAAATAATGTCAACACAACAGATTTCTTTCTAGACTTTTTGATAATTAAAGCAATACTAATTTAAATATATATATTACATCTGCAATGTCTACAAGGTTAAGTAAGTTTACAATTATGAAGATAAAAATATTTTCAATTGAAACATTTGTAATTTTAATAAAAATTTGGTTTTTTCTAAGACTTTTTCACACCACTATAAATACAATATCTACGATGTTATAAAAACGTATACCTTAAAATTGCCAACCAGAAATGCCACTCTATGTCACCGATTCTACTCATTTATACAATTGTTTCAAAAACGGCTCTAACGCTTTTTATTGAACTCGGTATATCACTTTACAATGAAATAGTCTTTAATATCAGGTAGATATTCTTATTGATGACCCCCTAATAGTGCATAAATACCCAATGTTAAAAATATCTACCTCTTAAGACCCTTAATTTCGATTTATATTAACTAATTAACTATCTCTCATTTTATAATAGTAATAAAATATTTTGGTAATTAACTAAAGAAGAAAGAAGTAAAAAAAATTTTTAGATTAAAAATAAATTTCCGTAAATAATGACCAGAATGTATGGTTATAATATTTCGTTGGAAAGCTGTAAGTTGTAAAACAATATCTAGCATACAAAGTTGTAGAAGATAATAAAGAGTGACTTAAAAAATATCAATAATAATTTCTAAACATTAATATTATCAAACGGAAAGGAAATGTCTCCATGGAAACTAATTTTAGTTCCCTAACTAAATAAATTATAAAAAATAGAAAATTATTTACTTAGTAAATTTCAAAATTATTTATAAGTTGAAAAAAAAAATATATAATTTGTAATCCACTGAACTGAGGCAATGCAATTGTTTCAAATCTATTTTATTAAATAAAATCTATTGAATTTCTACTGGCTTTAGCACCAGTGACGCGGTTGAGAGAGTTGCGCAGGGATCTCTTGGAGTCCTGCATTTCCTTCTATAGTTACAGGGAGAAGTCTGGCTTGGGGTTCCCTGCCTGATTGTATATAGGTATGACTGTGTTTTTATGTTTTTAATTTACTTATCTTTTGGTTATTTTATTTTTATTATTCATAGTTTTTAATTATTATTTTCCTTTTGTTAATTTTATATTTTCTGCATATATGGTGTGAATAGGTTCATATATCGCTACAGTTATTGTCCACGTGACAGATTATTATATTAATTAAAAAAAAAAAAAGCGAAGTCTCATTGAAATCGGTACATTCGTTTAGACGCTACAGTCTATAACAACGCAGGTTTTTCGGCCGCCATTTTAAAAGTAAAAGCCGGATAGTAATGTCGATGAAGGAGGATCATCCTTGGGTGATCTCTGATTTTACATCCATATTTGAAAAAAATCGGTCCAGTAGTTACAGAGAAAATGCGCGGTCGGCGGACGGCGTTTTATTCTTTTTCGAATTCTACGTATCCTGAAACGTAAAACCTCAAATTTTGAGAGGGGGTTAAGTTTTTGGTAAAAAAAAAAAAAATATTTTATGGATAAGAAAAACATATGATTTATAACCTTAAATACATTTACTGAAGTTTAATAACTATAATAATTTAATTATTTAAATAATTAGAGATATATTGTCGATTTATTCCAAAAATGTAACAGTTTGGTGGTTAATAATTCATTATTGAAAATAATAAATCAACAATGGTTACTTATGAGGCCAGCTGAGAATATCATCGAGGAACATCAGCTTAGATGGTTTAGCCATGTTCCTAAAAAAGCAGAGAACAGATTGGCTAAGGTCGTATACGAAACAAATGTGGAAGGGCAGAAAACAAGGGGAAGACTTGAGGGAAAGGCGTTGTTCGGGAGGTTTTTGACAATAGCGGAAAGCGAGTACGGGTGGTTCGGAGGAGATATTCTTGGATCACCCTCTATCACTAGCGAATCCAGGATATAATTTTGGGGGGGGGCGGCTTCAGCCCGAGAGATTTTTTTACATATACATATAACGATAATTAATTTGAAAAAAAAAAGGAAGAAATTAATTACCTATATGAAATGGTGTTTAAGTGGTTCTTGAAGTTCTATTAAATGTAATTAAACGAACAAGAATACTTTAAGAGATAGTTTTTAATATTTTTTTCTGTAAAACGTGATTATATTTTACCATTTTGGGGGGGCTTCAGCCCTAAAGCCCCTTCCCCCCTCCGTAGATCCGCCTGTGCCCTCTATCGAAGGGACCCTTATTCTGCAATGCCGTAGAAGAGTATGAGATTGAATAAATAAATAATTTAACTCTTTTTATTCTAGATAGATTATCATGAGGTAGTATAATCGTATAATAGTATAATAGTAGTAGTAGTCCATCCCACTAAAAATCCGCCATGCATCATCCTTATCCACCTTTAAAACCCTCTTATTCCAATTCCTCTTCACAATCCAATCAGACGCTGGTTAAATACATACTATGTTATAAGGATTTAATTTTCTTTAGACATTATTTTTTTCTCTTATTTTTTATTGTTTTGTTCTGTGTTGAACGTGAATTTTCATCACCACTCACTAAGCATTGTGAGTAGATAAAATTTGTTTTCCTTAAGTTCTAATTTGTTATTCATGGAATGTATTTCAGTGAAATGTATTTTATTTCTAATTATCTTCAACATACTTCTCGCTATGTGTATGTATATACTTTATTTTATTTTCTCTTCTCCTAATCTTTACGCATAATCACTTAAATATCTTAGGGAACATATGTATATCATTATTTGTTTTTTTACATATTTTTTTGTTTTAGTTTTTACAATTTCTTTCCCTACATATTAACAGTTATTATTATTTTTTTAAATTTTTATGAGAAGGAATTAGTCGAGGGTGCGGTCAAAAAATAAAAAAAAATTAAAATATATAAATAATTTTAATTTTTGCCGACGTTTCGACCCACTTTGCAGGTCGTCTTCAGGGCGTTGGATGTGGCACTGCGGGAGGCGGTTGAAACACTGTGTTTCAACCGCCTCCCGCAGTGCCACATCCAACGCCCTGAAGACGACCTGCAAAGTGGGTCGAAACGTCGGCAAAAATTAAAATTATTTATATATTTTAATTTTTTTTTATTTTTTGACCGCACCCTCGACTAATTCCTTCTCATATCATATCAACGGTCAACCATCTCTACATCATTTTAAATTTTTATATTCCATCACTACAATGCTTTACCTATAAAATAGATTTTACTTTCCTTATAATTTCATTCAGTGATTATTATGCAATTATTTTAGCTCCATTGTAGTACTGAACCCCTATTACCAAACTGTCCTCGTTAATTTATCCTAAGAGCTTAATTAATACTTAATGTATTACATGTATTTTGTCATTATTCATTGTAATAAGTCTTTTGACCAGATTTGTAGTTAATATATATGAACAATACTGTTATTCTAAAGGGACCTAGTCCCAGAATAAAGATGATTTTTCTATTCTATTCTATTCTATAAATCATTACCGTAACACTTTAAACATTCGTATTTGGCCGTTTTTGAAAGAAATTATTTTACCTTATCAAGAGTAATCTAAAATTTAAAAAATTGAAAATTGGTCTAATTCTACCCCCCCCCCCAATTAATTTAATTGATGACTTCATCAACTTACCTGGATTTAAATTTAATTTAATTATTTATAAATTTCACGGTACCCTAGTGGCGTACATGCGGCAGTTATTTTTAGAGCCACTCATATAAGAAAAGAAGGTACTACACTCCACTATATTCTTGTATAATCAATATTTGGTATCCGGTTTTAAACAAGTGATAATATTTATGAGCCTATTGTGCAAAAAAAAACACTAAGCAATTGGTCGATCTAGCCTGTACTTTGACGCAGTTTGTCCATATGGCATAACAAAAAAATAGGAATTAGTTGTACTGAAAAATTGGCAATTTATTTCGTATGTAAGATATTTTACCATATTCAGAAATAATACGTTCCATTAAAAAAACAACTAGACATTTTACGTCATTGGTATCCATAATTGTGATAAATTCATATATAAATATTGTTGTAATTTATTATTAAGGGGGCACACAGAGTTGGCAAATCTAGTTTGAAAATGATAAGATCAGGTTAAGGTTAGTAATCTAAAAAAAAAAAAATAACAAACCTTCAGAGATAAATTTTTAATATAACTGATAAGGATGAAATTGAACAAGTAAAACTTAATATTGGCAACTAAATTCTTAAATTCTTTAATGAAAATTACTTGTTGAAGATATAGTGGGCGTTTTGAATCAGTGACAAAGGTATTTTCTTTAGCTTACTACCAACTGATGTTAGGATAAATTATTTTTTATTCTCTTGAAATTTAAAAAGAATCATTTCTTCTTCTAATGTTAAGAAAGATAGGTAAAATAAACATTGACTTACCTAACCATCACTTCCTGTCCCTTTCATAAGCAAAAGTGATCTCTAATTCTGGAGACGCTCAATGATCCATCTTATGTGAGCCCACACCATAAGTATGTGAGAAATTTATACACGTTCTACTGATTACTCAATTTAGTCTCATCTTCATAATTAATTCACACATCATTTAATCCCCCAAATCTTTGAATTTTATTTTATATGAAAAGTAAATCAGTTCCTTGAACTTGGCTATAATACATATTACATAAACATACTATATCTTTATATTGTATTACAATACATATTATAGCCAAGTTCAAGGAACTGATTTACTTTTCATATAGTAAATAGGCCCCTAGAAGTAGCATCAAGCTTATTATGTTATATTTACCAAGTAGATAAAATTTAAGTGTTCATGTTTCTTAAGCGTATGAAGGTACGTACTTACAGATGAAGATACGAAATGGAGGTAACATGTCGATATTTCTGTTACGACATATATGCTGCCAAGAAGCAGCATATTGGAGGGATATAGAGCAACATCGGGCAGCACAGTATCAAAGAAATTTGTTGATTATTGCTTGTAACTCTGTTTCCCATTTCTAATCGAAAATATCACGAAAGGTACCTATAGACCTGGATACAAAATGCTAGCAGCATAACGATATCGTTGTTGTCGGCACGTGCCCCATCAATAACGAACATTTTAATGGGACACATAAAGGTTTATCTTCGAGGATTCCAGGCGGTCTCATGAATCCTGTTGTAAGTTAAACTGGCTTTATCCTGCTTTCCGGTGTTAATATCTCCTAAGTGAATTTTTGTACTAGAACCTTAGAACAAAAAAAACTTCCTATATCCTAAAACCCTTCAATATACGTCCCTCTATTCATTCTCTTAACATATGATGTCAAAGTATTTATTTGTGTACTCCCACTTATAAATCCACTACCTTCAACAAAGTTTTCATCATAATTCCTACCTCCTTCTGGAATCCCTTACGCACATTTATTCATCAACCCTTCCGCCCATTTCATATTCCTTTTAATGTGAAGAATTAAGTACCGTAGGCGAATTAAGATTAAGATCCATCGGAATAAGAGATTGGTGGGCAGCAGCCAGGTTTTTTTTTCCTCACCCCCCAGGAATTTTTATTAAAACATTTACTATATACAAAGTTAGGAGCCTTTCTTTACCCGTAGGTATTTTAAGGAATGTGGGATAGGGTCTGCGGTATGCATTTTTGGCGTTAGCGGCATGAAGCCTTATACTTTTTATTTGAACAGGGAGGGACTGCTCATAATGGACTGCTCAGCAGCCAGGGATTCACAACCGCTTCCCTCAGGGTCCATGGCGCAAGAACCTACCCCCCTTCTCCCAGGATATTTTATTACTCACCTTTTCTTAAAAGTAGAGCAAGCCAAAGGTAGAATTAGAAAAATCGTAGATCATATAGAATTACACTTGCTGCTGCCTGTTCCATGTTTTCTCCATATCCCTTAGTTCGAAAATTCATAACTCAGTCAAAATTTGTCTCCCTCAAATGTTTTAATGACGCAACTTGCGCCATGAAACCCCCTTCTGGGCACCCCTGTGAGATACTTTTCTTTTAAAGCTATATCCGATAACTTTTCGTTTTCATAACCTGATCTGTAATACTTCTATTTATACCATAATGAGGATAACTAGTATTATCTATTAAATTATTTATTATTAAATAATTACTGCTTATTTAGTTAGGTCAATGCTTGTAGAACTATATCCCAGAAGTTTCTTCTTCTAACTCTCTTACAGGCCTATTTTAACCTAAAATTATTATTTAAATTATTATTATTTAAATTATTATTTAAACCTAAAATTATTTAGGTTTAAATTTGTGTTTCTATTTTTGCAAAGGTTTGGAAAGATGCGTTGTCATAAAACTGTGGCATGTTCTACTTGATACATTACATTTAAAAGTATTCCAATTCAGCCTGAATATATAATCCATTTTTTCTAAATTATGTTTTACTATTTCTATTCATTTAGGCTACTAATCAGTAAAGGATGTCAACCGAATTGGAACATGAGCAAATTTTACCTGAAACATCTCAAGAGGAAACCGTGGATTTAAATGATGAAAGCTTCGAAAATTTTGATGAATTCGAAGAACTAAGCTATGGTTTATCTGAAGAGGCATCTGATGAGTATTCGGGATATTCCATTTTTACAGAAAGTTCGATAGAAACTTATAAATCTCCAGTAATTAGCGTGGAGGAAACTGTACCAGAAGATCCTTTGATGCCTGTTCCTCCAAAACGTTATCCAGATATGCTCTTTCTAATGGGGAAAGATTTTCCTAAAGCTATTCACGTATGTTCTTTATTTTATTTTAGATAGCATACTGGCACCATGTTTAAGTAACGAATGAGAAAAATTACATTTTACAATTTCTTTCGTTTACTATAGTACTTCATGCCCACCTTGTGCAAAAACCGAAAGACCGGAACCAGTAATATATGTAATAACGAATAATCATTATTCGTTTACATTGAACAAATTCACATTCGTTATTTTAACATAGTGCCAAAGATATAGCGTACGTAGTAGTTAAACGTAATATTAAACCAAGGAACGGGTAGACAATAAATGTAACGTCTATACCTTATTTTAACTATATCTCGAAGCGTGTTGAAGGTTGAAAGCGTAATACAACTCTGAAAGATTTTAATTCTACAAAATATAGACACTTTACACACAGGTCGAGTAATTATAACTTTTTTATACTATAAGTTTTTAAAAAAGAGGTATTTCCGTACAGGGTGAAGTTTAAATAAAACGATAATAAGCAGTAATAGAAATTGTATAACTAATGAAATAATCGCATGCATAAATTTTTATTGTAGGAACATGCATCAATTAATGCGTAAAGGTTTTAGGGATATTACGACGAGGAATACATTATTCGGTGACAATTGGGTATACTACATATAGTAGTTCATGAAATTATTATATAAAACAATGACTATGAAAAAATTGACTCGTTATATGACTAGAAAGATAGTGAGCAACCGTAATTGTAAAGTATCTTTGTTTAATTTTAATTGCTATTTGTAGATGACTTGATAATGAGTTAATCAGCTCGAAACGTCGTCAGAAGGATAATAAAAAATTGTTGAAAATATAAGGGCCTATTTATTCCTTGAAGACACCATATATAAGAAAAATATAATTAAGAAATAAAGTGAAATATAAAATAAAATAGGTTAGTTATAATGATTGGGTGTGCTTTCTCTGTTTTGGTGAATATTGCTAGTTCCTTCACCATGCATATCTTCCTGCTTCCTTACCATACTTCTTCACCTCCACCGCCTGCCAACATATCTCCTGGTTCTCCCTGGCCACTTTTCTTGTAGGGGGTGTCTATCTACTCACATTGTGAATATGCAAGACATAAAAAAAAGAACAGATCGGGGCTCTGAGTACCCTTGAGTAACCAGCTTGAGTAGCACTCTTTGAATACCCAGATAAGAATTCACCCGAATATGCAGGAATTCTTTAGTTCAATATCCCGCCAATAGATGGCACCTTCACAATGGCCAGCAGATGACGCTATTGTACCACAGCATTTAAAATATAAAAGTTACAAATAAAATAATAAATGATCTTAGCCTTAACAGTTGGTCTACTTCGATTTTTTGAAGAACTTCACCGAATTTTTCAACGATTGGCCAGCCAAAGCGAGGTTGATCTTGAACATCAAAATTTCCGGAACGAAAACGAGCAAATAAATTCTGACACGGGTGTTCGCTTAAGCAGTCATCATCATAAACATCAGGGGTGCCCAGGAGGGGGTTTCATGCCGCAAGTTGCGCCATTAAAATTTTTAGAGGTCATATTTTGATGGGTTTTTGAATTTTTGAGGGGGGCAAATTTCGACGGGGCTATGAATTTTCGGACTAAGTGACACGGGGGAAACAGAACAGACCGCAGCAAGTGTAATTGTATATTATCTAGATTTTTCTTAATTCAATCTTAGCTTCTTCTGTTTTCAAGGAAAGTTGTTCAATAAAATATCTTGGAGATAGGGAGGTTCATGCGACATCGACATTGAGGGGAGGAAACCGACGTCCCCATAACTGGGCAACTTTCACAGCTCCAAAGATCTTACACTAAATCTTCCCCTCAAAGACCATTAGATTCTGCTCATCACTTTTGAAGATACTCCATGTTTCTGAGCCATAACGGAGTATCGGTCGGATAATTGTTTTATTCAATAGGATTTTTGTTCCTCTGGTTAAGGCACGGATCCTAAAATATGGACTGAGGCCATAATAACAACGATTGTCACATAGCACTCTTCGCTTAATTTCAGAATCTACAACATTATCATGAGTTATGAGGGATCCGTGATAAATAAATTTCGACACTTTTTCAATGGAGAATTCTCTGATGGTAATCTTTTCGCCCGGTTTGGGATTTTCCTCAATGACCATATATTTGGTTTTTGCAGCGTCGACTTTAAGGCCCATTTTTCTTGCTGTTTCCACTAGTGCATCCAGCAATGTCGATATCATTTGCATAAGCAAGAAGTTGCACTGTCCGGCTGAATACTGTTCCGCCCACTTGAATACCAGAATCTCTAATGGACTTCTGGAAATCAAAGAGAAGATATGTCAATGCATCTCCTTGCCTTAGTCCTTTTCCAGAAGTGAATTCTGCCAATCTTGCTCCTCCAACTTCCACCATGCATCTCACCTCTCTCATGGTGAGTTTTACCATTCTAATAAGCTTTTCAGGAATTCCGAGCTCTCTCATTGCCTCATAAAGCTGTTCCCTATGAACACTATCATACGCTTCTTTAAAATCAACAAAAAGATTATGGGTTTTAAGCTTATATTCACGTCCTTTTTCAAGCATCATGGGGAAGCTAAATATCTGGTCAATGGTAGATTGTTCTTTTCGAAAACCACACTGTAGCAGATCTAAGATCTTTTCTGCTTTTCCGCTAACTAAAAGTACTGCGCCGTCCGCCTTCCGCGGCTTTTCTCCGGAACTATTGGATTGTTTTTATTGAGATTTGGAATTAAAGTCACAAATCACCCGACGATGATCTTCTGCCTCGATATTACCATCCGCCCCTTCCTTTCAAGATGGCTACCGAAAATTGGTATAGACTGTAGCGCCTAAACGATTGTACCGATTGCTATGAAAGTTGCCTTAAGTCTTCTCCTTGATGCCTTTTAAATATATATATATATATATATATAAAACATACTTCACCGAAAAGTACTTCCCTTTCAAGACGGAGAAGGAAAGACCTGTGTCGTATATAGTGGTTCAATAATATTATTAATCCATTGTAGTGTGGTATAGACTGTAGCTCCTGAGCCGGCGTACCTATATTAATGCAACTTAAAATTTAAACCTTTAAATTTATTTATATAACATACTTCAACGAAAAGAGGCTGGAAAAAGATGAGAGGGGTGGTAAAATTAGATTTACAAATAACTCAAGAAGTACACTTTTTTTTTCGTTTGATCTGTTGGTAATTCTTATATTTCATGTGTATTTAAATTTCTTAAAAAACAAAAAAAAGTTTCATCGAAATTAGAGCTCCATTAGTAAAGATATCGCGGTTTTTAAATATTTTTGATTTATAATTATTCAGTAATGAACCATGTAATCGTCCAAAACGTTAATTCTCCCTCTAAATTTGAGGTTTTACATTTTCCAATCGATGGAGCACAAACATCGAATACAAAATGTCCGTCTGTCGTACACCGTCCGCTGCTTTTCTCCGAAACTGCTGGTCCGACTTTACTGAGATTTGATGTTTTTTTTTAATTACTAAATTCAGAATAACTTTTTATTTATTTTACAATGAAAGTAAGGTTACTTTTGATATTTGGAAATAATAAACCATTCTGTAATAATTTGCAGCGTTTATGTATTAAAAAAAAAATGGAAATCATTATATTTAAATGATATTTTCAATAAAAAATAATTTTTACCAATAAAATTCAGCATTGTTTTCCGGGTTAGTCCAACATGTTTTGGAAAATGTTTCAATAAATTGATAGTCTCATCATTTAAAAGGCGCCGAGAAAGAAAACCATAATGAGGATTTTATTTTAGGAACGGTTTTTACATAAGGTTTTACAGGTTGTAAATAAGGAAAACAATATTTTTCAAAAAATACTTTATTATGTTAATAACATTCCAACATTTAATAAGATTCCAATTATTTGTTGAGACGGTATAATTAAATGAGTATTTATGAAATTATTATATTTATTTTTAATTAACTTCATCATTGGAAACTTTGATAACTGAATAACTTAAACTACTGATAATTATTTTATATTTTTCAAGGCCCATGCATACGTTCGTTCATTAATAAAATGGAAGAAAATTTGTCCGAAACAAAAAATCGAAATTTTAGCTCCTGGAGGCAATTATAAGAATGGACTATTCTTTTTTAGCATATACAAAGTAAGATTACCATAAAATTTAATTTATAAAATAAATGTACTTAAGTTTAATTTTTATAACAATAAAAGTAATAATGTTTATGAAGAGAAGAATAGTTGGGGTGCTCAGTCAAAAAGGAAGGCAAAAAATAAATTATAATATTTATTTTTTACATATGCCGACGTTTCGACCTGAAGTTCAGGCCTTCATCAGGGCTAAGAAAATAACCAGATAACAAGGTATGAAAAACATAAGTAATGATGGTAAAAAAGATAATAAAAAATGAGAAAATAAAATAAATAAAAAAAAAATTATTAGAAAAATAAAATAGATAGATATAAAGTAAAATGAAATTGTTAGAATAATGACTAAGAACTAAGAGATAAATAATAAAAACTGTTACATAGTGTGGAATGATGAAGTAGGCATAATAAAAAAGGGGTGACAAAAGTGTTACATTGGGAATCTTAGAATAAAATGTAAAACCATAAAAAAGAAATATAAAGTTATATAAGAAATGAAAATAAAATAAATAGTAAAATTAAAACATTGAGAATGGAGTAGTTAGATAGAAAATTGAGATATTGTAGAGTCTATCAAGATGTACAGACAATATATAATATAATAAAGAGTTAAAAACAGAGAAAAGGAATGAAAGGAAGGAGGGAAGAAATTGAGAAAGCTGAAATAAGAAAGAAATAAAAGAAGTACTACCTTTCTCCTTAAGTGTCAAGGGGAGAATAAAAGTCGTTACAAGGGAGGGGGAGAGAGAAGAGATGTGAAGGTGGCGTCATCTCTAACGCATTTCTCATACCTTGTTATCTGGTTATTTTCTTAGCCCTGATGAAGGTCTGAACTTCAGGTCGAAACTTCGGCATATGTAAAAAATAAACATTATAATTTATTTTTTGCCTTCCTTTTTGACTGAGCACCCCAAATATTCTTCTCTTCATTATCCACGACAGTCAACCAATTACCAATTATGAATTATAATAATGTTTATATGTATTGGTATTTGGTTTTGGTTTTTCGTATAGTATATTTGAAAATAAGTTACTGGAAAATAAAAAACTGGACATACTACAATATTTATTTTTATATTAAATTTATTTTTAATTTTATTTAAAGGTTTGAGGCAGCGAGATGAACTCTCAATTCCTTGGTGCTTCAAATTTGCCGCAAAAAATGTGATAAAATTTGACGTAAAAATGGAAGGGTGCACATGAATGAATCTAGGATTTGCTCATAGTTTATTTTCAATGATAATAATATATTACTATAATTATCACTGGATATAAACTACAATTTTAACAATAGGAACATAGCGTGTGGTAAAATACATGCGTACCTACATTAGGCCTTCTAGACATACCATCTAGTCGACTTTTCCTATTTTCTTAATTGATTTTAGGCTACATTATGATTTTATTCATGCATGCAAATTAATTGTTATAGAATTGATATTGATTTTATTTTTGTTCTTCGAAATACTGGAGAGACGAAACTATATTCTCGCCCCAACTCTATTTTATTGGAGAGAGATCGTCCCCTTCCAAAGTCTACCTCTAAGATCAAGATAAACATTTCCCGAGACAAGTTAATTCTTTAATTCAAAGATATGTTAGTCCAAAACTAAACCTAACTGCTAACACACCAAACGGTCTTTTATTATATTAAAATGAAATTTATCCTTAACATTTTCACACAAATCAGCTATCACTAAGCAGCATGTAACTTTTATTTTATTTAAGGCGATTGAGATTGTATGATAAAGTAGGGCGTTTGTCGCCCTCGATGTAACATCAAATCCAGTGACCATATTGCTTCTACACAATAATTTCTAAAATGCCGTAAATGTACTTCTCGGGCGAGAGTTCAACTCATATTGACTGCAGTCTACGCGTACCGGATCCTCTTCGCCAGCTTTTGTACCATTGCAAGATTTGAGAGACATTCCATGTTGCCTCGTACAGTGCAGTAGGTCCTTCCCGTCACCATTACATACCTCCACGGTCTCCTCCTCGTCTCGGAAGAGGACCAGCACCTTACTTTTAGATAAATTTCAAACTGTTTAATAGTTTTGAACACATTACATGGTAAAATATTCTAGTCAAGAAAATTTCGGAGGCCGGATTCGGACCGAATCCAGATAAGGTCATGATAACCCAACAGAAAAATATTTCCATTAAAGTTCCAATATAAAAGAACGTTAGGTATTTTCGTAAAAATGAGCATAAAAACTGACGAACCAAAGGAAAAACCTAGAAAGTTCAGGATTCATACTTACATGCGGGAAAAAAATTGAGGGAGATGAAAAAATAAAAGGAAGAGGAAGAAAACAGGAAAGAAAATAATTGCTAACAGGAAATGAAGTTAGGTCATCACTTTATAATGATAAAAATAAATATCTAATGAAAGCAATAGTTTAAGATCTTATTGAGAGATGAAAAAGAATTAACTGGTAAGAATGAGAAATCTTTATAAATGTATTCTTAAAAAATGGTCTTTAATAAAATTTGCAAGACAAAAGTAAATTCAACGTCCTAAAATAGTTGCCATGACAGAATTCCAAAGACTATTTAGTCCTTAGCATGGTTTCACGAAATAGTAGTATGAACATGCTGGTCTTAGGATGGGACAACCGGGACAATTGCCCAGGGACGCCGACCTGGAGAGACACCCGTGGGGGACACCAGTTGATCATCAGGGCTGTTCATTACTTGTAAGAAATATATATTAAAAAAAGTTAAAAACGTATTAAAATAATTAATTTTAGTCTATCAATAAAGCAACTGTATTAGAGAAATGTTGAATGAAATAAAATTCAAATATTATATAATATAAAACAGCTTAAGAAATAAATTAAATGTTTTTAGAGGGGAAGATGACGTCATTGCCCTTGGGCGCCAAATGTCTAAGGCCGGAACTGAGTGTCAAGTACAAGGTGAAGATATTGTTTGTTTTCTTCCACCAATATTATACGGGAGACATGGCGGTACTAGTTTACAAGAGTTATTTTATTATTATAATTAATTATTTTCGTGGTACTTATTATTCAAGTCATAGCCGTAGGGGAGGAGGAGGGGAGGGGGCAGACTTCGGAGAGAAAGAGAGAGGGGAGGGCGATCGCCTTCCTTCCCCCAATGATTTGAGATAGAAAGAACTTAAAATCAAGAATAAATAATCTACATGAATGAATAAAATGTGTACACTAAAATAGATTAAGAAAAGTCTAATAGCTAGCTAGGCTAGGGCCTAGTAGTATATATGTAACTATTTTAATGATACTTAAATGTTACTTTTATTTAAATTGTCATTTATATTCAAAGATAATAATATATATCAATATATCCTACATATCCTACGATTCAATCACCCCACAATTATTCACTGATATCATCACATTTTCTGCGGCAACTAGTCCAACTGTGAAAAACGTGGTATTTTTATTTTAGGTTGTACAAACTAAGAAATTAAAGATATTTTTCACTTTTTTACATCAATCATTTTTAGCTAAAAAAGTTCTAGAAATGTACCAAGGTCATGAAGGCTGTCTCCGCTCCCCTCTGTGTTTAATCTAAACAAATACATTATATATTCAATTCTATCTTTTTTTTAGCTATTTTCAAGTATATATAATGAGTAAAACAAAAAATAAATAAATAAAAATCCTTACAACTATACTAACATATGCCAAAACAAATTAATTCTAATAATATTAATATTAATATTTTAGAAGTCATGGAGGATTGAAAAAAATGTAACCCAAGAATATTATATATTCCCTTCAATTATTATTAATTCCAATCAATTAGGCCTAACGAAACAATATGACAATGAATAATTGCTTTCCATAACTAAGGAAATTATATTTTAACTATCTAAATCAAAAAGAAACATATAAAAATAAATATCATTTTTTTATTTTTTTACTGAACACTCCAACCAACTTCTCTTCAAAAATAAGCTTCATACGTACTAATATAACTAAATGAAATAAAAACATAAAATTCTTACCACATTTTAAAACATCCTTCAATATTCTTTAGTTGAGTTTCTTACTCAGTAATCGCTTTCATTCAACTACTAAATAAGAAGCTCAACCGGTAGAAGCAATATTTCGAAAAAAAATATTGGCTATAAATATGGCTTCTAAACCACTGCCATAAAGGCCAAAGTCAAATTAATTTTACCTACATAAATGGAAATAAATATTAGTAGAATACAATTTTTACAGGATAATTTCTATGGGTCTGCGTATTGTCATGAAAAAACAGATAAATCTATTCTGAATGAAGCACTATCTAAAAGTAGATATGTACCTGTTCAGGATCAGTATAACATGTGTCGCTTATCTTGCTTAAATTATAATACTTTGGAAGCAGTTGGAACTATTATTTCTAAAGAAAATTGGTGTTTGTCTAGTGATGTGGTTCTTTGGCTCCCATGGTATTGTGCAAGAGAAGTGGAAGTACAGTAAGTATTTCCTGGTTTAATAGCCTAGGTCGAATATATCCAACCTGGTGTTTCCAACTAATGAATATTAACAACAAGAATATTTCCCATTTTCAAAAATATTACAAGTATTAAAACTTTTTTCTATAAAAAAAGTCATGACATTCGATCACAAAAAAGTAAAAAATTTCTAAACCTCATGCTCTGATATTCCTGACAGAGCAAATTTGGTACCCATTTTTAATATCAGCTCAGTAGAATTAATATTAAATCATCAATGACCCTTCTATGTATGGGATAGGAAATTTGAGAAGACCTAACACCAACTTGGTTTATTTTAAATCTGGGCAAACTACTGTCTATCTGTATAACTGATTTATTCCATAAAATTACATTAACAAAAACTGTGCCGTTTTGTAAACCTACAACTATCATCAAATGACAACATTTTAAATCATACCTCAATACATATCTAATTAATGTAAATATTTAGAAATTTTCTGATAAATTAATTAACATAATTCTTAAATCAATTTGTATCAATAGTCCATGTTCTTTAGCTGCACGATATGGTCTTCTCACTTATATATATTGCTTGTGCGACCATAGATAGCTTGGAAGCGGTTACCAACAGTGTCCTTCCCATCAACTCTCTTAAGTGAAAGGAGCGTGACTAATCGGTTTAGCTTTATGGCTTAGAAAGAGATGAAATAGATACTTGGTTGATATTCTGAATAATTACAATAAAATTATAAAATTCATAAAATAAATTAAAAGCAATAATTCAATTAGAGCAATATATTTTTAGATTGTGATAAATATCACCTATTTATATATTTTCACTTTATTTGTTGAAATATAAATAATAACAAGTAATTTATATATTTCAGGAAATATATTTTTAAGAAAATAAGGAGGAAAAATTAAAAAAAATTGTGTTATAAGAAAAAGAGAGAATAAGAAAGAAAACAACTAAATTTTATAATATTAATTTAACAATTACTACCATAAAATAGAATACTAAGAAATGGTAGAGGACATCCTTAATATTAATAATGAGTAGCTTACTTTCAAAAAGCACATATCCAATTTGCATTTTTTTTCACTATAGTGTAAAAATAAATAAGAGAGCTAGTGATATAATTAACTTTGTTTTCTGGGCATATTCAATAAAATAAGCTTCAAAAATAATATTATAGGAATTATTTTTTTTTTATACAAAACTAGAAGGATACTATTCTATTTAATGTAAATCAAAACTATATTATATTTATTTTAGATAAGTTCATTTTTGTTCGGAACACATAGAATTGAACCCTTTTGAAAAAACAAAAAACAAAAGCCAATGTTATTATTATTATATTATTAAAAAAGAATCTAAGTTCCTTAACGGGAAATACTTCCCAATCTCTTATAACTCCAAATTATACATCTTTTTAATACTCTTTGAAGCTTTTCAATTTTAAAAATTTTCTCTACAATCCAAAAGTAAAAGGAAGGTCAGCACGAAGAAAACTGTGAGTTCAAAAATAATCTTTGTTGATTTTACATTAGCCAAAAAAAATTTTCATTTCTCAAAAAGAAAGTAATTTGTTTCGTGCAAAACATTCATTACAAACAAATGAACTATATGAATGCTCAGATCAAGATTGTGTCAGAGATTGAGTAAGTGACCACGAATTTCTATTGCTCCACTTCCTCTCCAGTATTTCTGTCCAAAACTGGGATCCCTAAATTCTGTCGAGACACAAAAGAGGGCATAAAATGCTGTTTCCCTTCAATAGAATGCACTGCTGATCAGAGTTTTGGCAAAAGATATGTTTTTTGCAAGTTAAAAACTATGACTATTAAAGGAATTTAACTTCCTCAATCAACTGATAAAAACTGAAACTCTCATAATTGCAACTAATTAAACTTCCTCCACGCACTTCATCTTACCTTTTCAATCTAGTGTTTGTTATAAACATGACAAACATAGTTAGTGACAAGAAGCTAATGTTAAAATCATTGGTAAAAATTCTGTAAAAAAAACCGAAATGTTATGGTATGTTTGATTGATACAATCAACCCTTCCAAATCTGCTGTAAATAATTGACAATGAAACTATGTGGAATTGAAGTGTTAATCAGTGGAATGACAATCTAAAATGTCTACAGATAGCTTATTTGATGATAGAGAAGTCGAAAAGAGAAGTTTTCATGCTCTAGATGGTCATCACTAAAGTAACTCGATAATGTAGTGGTTCCATTTCTGCAATTTAGAGAAAATTTGTATTTGAAATGTGAATATTAGATGGCTTTTGGATAAATTCCCTTTTTTAAAAAATTGCTGTCATGTTTGATGCAGTTCCAAATGGAATAAAATTAACAATATTGTTGGGAATGTATTTGTTTCCTTTTAATGTACATAGCTTACTTGTTCTTTAAAAAATGATGAAACAATTTTTTGAGAGTTATTGGAGGATCCATTCATTTCAACAAATGAAATTAAAAATGTCAACAAACATTTGTTGAATTATTTGATGGACATGTTCTTTTTTAAAGTAAGCTCCTGAATTAATATTAAAATGTTTACTAAATTATTAACATCAAATATGTAAAATTTCAAATAAAATCCAAATTTACATAAAATGATTGAAAATCAGGTATTATTTTTTACTTCCTGCGGGGACCAGCCATACTGGGAAGTAGGGCCCAGGATTCAATTCTATCCCTTTACTAGTACAGTGCTCTAACCACTCTGCTATACCAGCCTCACATAATACCTATCTACCTATCTCTCTGGCACTACAACCCTATTGGGTCTTGACATCTTCAATAAGCCTCTGCCGTTTGGCTCTGTCCTGTGCTGCCACCTTTCAGTTGTTGATCCCTAAGTTGCGTCCACTGCCACTCTGTCAGCCCTCCTTTACCTTGGTATTCCAGCTCTTCGGGTCCTATGAAGAACCTCTTCAGATACCTTCATTCTAGCCATGTAACCAGCCCAACTGAGTCTCCCAAGCTTAATAAATCAGACCGTGTCTGCCTCCTTATAAATTTGGTACAGCTCTTGTTATTTTCTATTTTTCTATCCCTCGGCAACTCTCCAAAGACCAATAATACACCTCAAGATTTTTCATTAAAATGGTGCATGTCTGTGAGCCATAGGTAAGAATCTGAGAACAGGTCAGATTAAAATCTAATTAAGAGTAGACTTGATTTGTCTGTTCAAGAGCCTGCTTCAAAAGGTCTTCAGTAGTCCAAAATAGCACCAAGTCTTTTCTTTATTTCTGCTGACATCATTTGAAGCTGTCACATGGGATCCAAGGTAACTGTACTATGTTACTCTTTCAAAAATATAAGGACCAATATCCAATCCCAAATCTCCTCCATCCCCTAACTAGAAATATTTAGTTTTGGTTTCATTCACAAGGCCAATGGTTGAAGCTGCCCTTATAAAGTTAATAAATGCTTCTTCTAGCTCTAGCCGGAACTTTGGAACTATATCTAAGTCATCGGCATAATCAAGTATCTGCACCATATGGGAGATCGTGCCTCTATCTGGATTTCAGAGTCTCTTACCACTTTTTCTAGTGCAAAATTCAATAGAAGATAAACTAGACCATCTCCTTGTCACAACCATTTGTCAGAAGTGAATTTGGATGGGCAATCAGATTATACCCGGACTTGACACCTCACCACCCTTATTATCAGCTCCACAAGGGAATCAACTTATCCACTATTATATACATGTTTTATATCATATGTTTTGAATCAATCTTTTATTTACTTTTACTTTTCTAAATATGGAATTTATAGTAAGGAAAAGGATTGCGATCTTCAAAAATTTCAAACTCTAGTTTTCAATAGAAATACACCTTTTGAGGTTCTTCCGAGTCCAAAAAAGCAAGTTTTACAAATAAGTCAGAATGTAGGTGTGTGTCAAGCTTAAAAAAAAAAATTCATGCGAAACTGAAATTACGTATTTAAGATAGTGGGCAATTCAGAGATAAAATTAATACGAGAATTGCCACTTCAGGAAGGATGTTCTCTGCTATCAATAGATAGTTTTTAAGTAAGAGAGAAACGGCAAAAGAAACAAAATTAGCCGTCTATTGTTCGACATTCGTCCCTATCCTCACTTATGGAAGCGAATCTTGGGCCTTAAAGGAACATGATCGCAGACACCTTTATACCACCAAAGCATGAAAATGAGGTATCTGAGGAAATAGAGGGAAAGACCAAGAGAGACCAAATACATAACACAATAATACGGACTACACTCAAAATTTAGCTACTAAACTAGATAATAGAGAAAGACCACCTCTGATGGTTCGGTCGTGTAATGAGGATGGATGACTGTCATTCAGTGAAGAGCAAAGAAAATCATGGAGGCTAAACGAGCGATAAAACAATCTAGGGGAAGACCAATAGTTATTTAAAAGGATAATCTCAAAAGTATTCTTAAAGTTAAAGGAATTGGATAGCCGGAAGCCAAGAGAGCAGCCCTCAACAGAGTCGGGTGGGGAACTCTTTGTGCAAAAAACTCTACAGTGACATGTATAAGAAATTATTGAATAATAATAAGAAGAAATTTAAGATAGTTAAACTGGAACATCGCAGTAACTTTTTTGTCAAAATAGACTGACCTGAAATGGTATTTTACATCATCAAAGTTACACAGCTTTACAATTTTATCGAAACCAACTCTAACGATTTTGATTATACTTGTTATATCAATTAACTAAGGAGAAATAAGTTTTAGAAAATGGGAATTCAACAACAGTTGAGAGTGCTTAACTTTTCTAAAAAAACCCTCCATTGAAGCTACTCATGTCAATAAAGGATTTCCCGTAGTCATTTATTATTAGTTTAACTGTTCACATATTTCATTTACGCATAATTTTCATAAAATATTTGTATGCACAATGTTGAGGATCCACTAACATGTGTATAATCTATAAAGTATATATACTAATACTAACTCTAACTTAACTTCATAGATTATATTTATCATTTTTTTTTTTTTACTAGTAGGAATGAGAACTGCTTAATCATTTCAAGTGAATAAAATTAAAGGTATATTATAGGAATTAAGTTTGAAAATTCGTTATTTAAGCTCTGTTTATTTTAATAAGAATGAGACCCTGTTTATGTTAAAGATCAAATATCATTAATTGTGCACTGTCATAAAGAGTTCAGACAAAATTGTTAGACCCATTTTTGAAAAAAAGTGTAAAATCATTGATAAAGAGTGGGACTTGTGGTAAGTCGATTTTACTCAAAAGTTGTTGTAATATTACAGTTTTAATACATAGTTTAAATTTCTGTAATAATAGTTTATCTAGTAATTAGTTCTGTACAACTATTTGTTGTTGACGAGCTAGGAAGTTTACAGACATACTCAGACAGATTGTTGTGTTATTTGGCCCTGGGAGACCTTACAAACCTGTATTTTCTTTGAAAACTTGAATTTGAAATTTTTCAACATCAGAATATTTTTTCATATTATTTATTTCATATATACATAAGTTAAAGTAAAAATTTGTGAATTCTTTTATAAAGAATTTAAATTCTCAACATAGATGTTTTTAATGCTTAAAAGTTAATTGATTCTGTCTGTATTATATATTGTACATTTCTTTACATTTAAAGAGAAAGGCTTTTAGTTTTTGAATGATTTGATTACAGCTTACCACATGATGGTGTTAAAATTCGAAAATTGGGTTTAGAACATATGGACTTAATAAATGAATCTTGGCAAGATAACTTTCCAGGATCTAGAGACCTTCTAGATGATATGTTTCAAATATACAATGGCTTAGGGTTATTTGCAGGAGAAAGTTTACTCTCTTGGGCTTTTGTTTGGTATCATGGAGGCATTGGAATTGTAAGTTATCTTTTAATTAAGTACATTTTGTTAATGTAGTCAAAAAATTATTCTCTATTCTATCTTCTAGATTCAGACTATAGAGAGTGAAAAAGGAAAAGGTTATTGTAGGCCAGTTGTGGAAGCACTTACTAAAGGAATGGGGGATTGTTTAATAGATGTTCATTTAAAAATTCCTAGGGAAAAGAGAAAAGATATAATTTTCTTCAGGTATAATCTACTTCTTTGGTCTCAAAATGATCTTTATATTAATGAAGATAATTTTCAGATATATGAGAAATTATTTTTTTAAATTAAGATAAATATTACATATTGATTTTTTTTTTCATTCTTGATTCATATACTATGTTTTCAGTGAATTAGGGTTTAGACATGCCTTTAAAGCAATCAGTTGTGAAACAAAGAAAAATGAAGATGAGAAAAACCTGAAAAAAATTGATGACCCAAAATCTCAAGATGGATCAAATTAAATCATATTAAAACAACCCCAAACAAACAAAATGAAATTAGATTAATTTCATTAATGAATATTTATATATAATAGATACAATCGATGTTACCTTTCTAGTTTTACTATTGATCAAAAAACCTATGCTTACTTGAAGCAATTAATTTTGAAACAAGCTCAATTCACTTTTTTCAAGAAATATATAAATTTTTTACAAGTTCTCAGTGCATTACACCATTTAACTAAGCATTATTGGCCAAAAATATCTTGATTCAGAGTAAATACGGATATAAACTCATGGCCAAGAGCAGCTTAATCAAATGTTTATGATATCTTCTGTAACATTTTATTTTCATATTTTCTTCATAACCATGAGATTTTTTGGATGATTTAATAAAAACAAAAAATATTAAATACAAATATTCCCTGATACTAACAATATTGCTTCAATCTGCAGGAAGAGTAGAAGAGTAATAATGATGGCTATATTTTAGGGATTAGCATTTTTTTTTTCAATGCAATCTTTATCATAAAAACTACCTTATATTAGTTTTATTAGCATCAATATTATATATATATATATATATATATATATATATATATATATATATATATATATATATATATATATATATATATATAACATCTTTTTTTTCTGAATTGGGAAATCAAGTCATTTTGGCACTTGGTAATCAATTTTAGAGCAATTCATTTTTTAAGCTTGGTTTTATTACTTGTATGAACAAAGAGAATAAATTCATAAATTGAATAATTTTAGTTTAATCCTATTTTTATTGGTTCAGTTTGTTTTGAATGATTTATTTGTGCTCAAATAAGTGACAAAAATTATAGTCACCCATGGACATAAAAATCTACAGTATCATTATGCCCTCTTTCTACTTTTAAAAAGAATTAATTACTTTATTATAATGTAATAGTGACTTTTATAAAAATAATGAAAATATTTTCATGTACTTATAGAATATTTATTCAAAATCATTCTGTTACATAATACTTTGAATGAATATGAGGTTAATATATAACAGTAATTTTTCTTCTTAAGAATTAAGTGAAGTGAACACTCATTAAGTGATTTTATCTTCTGCATGGTGGGTTAGTCAAGTATTGGCAGCTGAGCATTGAAGACATCTAAGATTCTGTTTTAAGGTAACAATACTTTAACTGTAAATGATTAGTTTAACTTTAGTATTTTTATTTTTCTTGACCTAGAAACTTGAGATAACCATAACATTCAGATAACAGCATGACCATTGACTTGACAATTCCTAACTAATAATTATTAATAATTAATAATTATTTTAAAATTATCATCATATACTGGCATAATTTATTTTTCTTAAGTAATAGGGCCATGGTGAGTCCTATTATCCTTTAGATTTATTAAATGATACTTATGTTCTAAGAAAATTTAACCAATTCAATTTTTATCAACGTACTAGAACGTATTAAAATTGGGGACAGAATTGTTGTTTTCCTTTGATGATGATTGATGAAATATTTTTATTTGAGGAAAGAAATTTGTTTCACCATAAAATAAAATAAATACTACTTTATAAGTGTTGCTCCATATTTTTGGGTTGCACAAGATCACACTATAAATAGAATCCTGAGAATGACCGAGTCGCCTTAAAGTTGATGGAAATGAATAAGGACTCGCTAGAAATTCAAGGAAGTCCTTTATCTCAATCTAAATAAAGGTAGGTTATACCGTGAACATGTCTTCAATAGTAGGTCATTGAAACGCTGTGTATTATGTAGTCGTGAGATCCTGGCCCACTAGTCAAAGATGAGCGACACTTGTAAAATATACCTACAGAAATATTTAGAACAAAACGGGAATAAACACTGATAAAGGTTTGCAAATATTACTGAAGCTATAATAAAATACGTGAAGGGGGGAGAGTTATCTTCCGTACTGATATGGCTAGTGGGGGGAACAGATTAAGTGGAAGAGTTAGGTGGGATTTTTATTAGCAATCTGTTTAATTTAAACATTTTCTTTCGTTAATCCTAGACCGGGTGCGCTTATTTTTTATTTATTATTATTTTTAATGATGATAGAGATATTATAGCGTACAAGTTATATTTTTTTACTTTCACTTATCTGTGAAAATTTTCTAATCCGAGTTTTCATCGGAAATATACCTTTTGAGGTCTCCTGAGTCCAAATAACCAAGTACCATAAAATGTTCTGTGTGTGTGTGATGTGAACAGCCTAGCTCAAAAACGAAAAATTGTACGGAACTGAAATTACGTATTTAAGGTTTTTATCTATATGCTTGGGATGTTACTGCAACATTTTCGGCAAACCGGAAGTAATACTTTATATCATTTTCAAAAGCGGCTCTAACTACTTTGATTAAACTCAGTATATCAGTCAGTGTACAAATGGTCTTTAATACCAGCTAAGTCGTATCATAGGCGGATTTACGGAGGAGGGGCTTTCGGGCTGAAGCCCCCTCCCCCCCCAAAATGGTAAAATGTAACTATGTTTTATCGAAAAAAATAATAAAAAATTATGTCTTATTGCTCGTTTAATTTCTTCAAGAATCACTTAAACACCTTTTCATATAGGTAGTTAGTATCTTTCTGTTTTTCTAAAGTAATTATCGTTATATTTATGAAAAAAAAGCTTCCAGGCTGAGGTCCCCCAAAATTAAATCCTGAATCCGCTAGTGAGTCTTATACACATTGATGTTGCCTTACAGGACTTAAATGCCCAATGTTCAATACTTCTTCCTTTAAAGTACCTTTAATTTGGTTTATACAAACAAATTAACTCTCTATTATTCACGGTAACAATAAAAATGTGAGCTATAGCTTAAAGCTTACATATCATTAAGACCATTAAAATTACTAAAAGTCTATTTATTACGGTAGGCAAAAAAAATGTAATTTCTCTATCTGCTTTAATAAACTACCTAACTTCAGTCTCTGAGCCTTTCAGATGACAGAATGACTAACTAACCTTAAATAATTAGGTATACATCGTAGATTTAATAAAAAAAATTTCCTTTTATGAAATCACATTATCCACTTACAATTAGTGCACTAACGGATCCAGGATTTAATTTTGGAGGAGGCTTCAGTCCGAAAGATTTTTTTTTCATATATATAACGATAATTACTTTGGAAAAAAGAAAGAAATTAATTACCCATACGAAATGTTTTTTTAGTGATTCTTGAAGTCCTATTAAATGTAATTACACGAACAATAATACTTTAAGAGCTAATTTTTTTTTCCCATAAAACATGTTTATATTCACCCCGAAAGCCTCCTTTTCTCCGTAGATTCACCTGTAGATGCATAGTCCTCTGTCAGTTCCCGAGAGCTTTCGAGGTAATATATCTACAGCCATTAGAAAAGTATATATATATCAGATGAAGACCACCTTCAGTTAATAGAGCAGCATACTTTTGGGACTACCAATTAAACAGTATCTTTTACATTATTTTATAATAATAGATTATATAAACATAAATTTTATTTTATTTTATTATATATATTTTTTTTTTCGGTTGGCACTTCAGACCATATGCTTCTTGCTGGAGCACAGCTAGCCTGGAGGGGGTCACCCAACCTCACGTTGTTATGAACCATGGTCTCCATGGTGCAACGGAGGGCCACCCGTAGCTCCACAGCCGATCCCTTTGGGGCCAATTTGGCAGCGTTCTTCCCACCGACTCAATCGGGTTCTAGGATAGTGGCAAATCGGTCTAGATCCATGGATTATGGCTTCTCGGAGTCAGCAGGTGCAGCAGGACCTATATTTCTTTCACTGAAACAGACCGTCCATGGACCGAACCTCAGGAAGGCTATTAACATCCTGTTAGACCACATCCCGATTCCCGATTAAGTACAGGGGAAGGGTCACCAGTCCTACGCCCGGTTCGTGTGAGTTGCATCCAGTAGGCTGACGGGTCTCACATACTCGGAGGGGGGGAGACTGAGGCAGCATGGCTTTCCCTGTTGGACGGTCACCCAAATCGGGCGGTCACCCATCCAAGTACTAACGACGACATTGCTTAACTTTGATTACCTATTGCAAGAGCCTTAGGCCGTACGGCTACTCCAGCCCCCATATATATATATCTGGCAAGCAGAATTGAGAAATTCAAAAGAAAAGTACTCCGTACGATAATAGAACCTATATGGGATCAGAACCTTAACACATGGAGGAGGAGAAACAATAAAGAACTGCTAGAAGAAACTGGTCAATCAATATCTCATAATATGAAGGCAAGGAGATTAAGATGGGCATGACATGTAGCTCAAAGTAATCCATCAGGATGCCTTTACACAACAATGAATGCCAGAGTAGTAGGCAAGAGACCATGTGGGAGGCCAAAAACCAGATGGATAGATAGGATAAACAAAGATACGGCTGTGCTTCATGCCACAAACTGGAAAGCAGAGGCGGAGAAGGCTGGTTCAGGAGGCCAAAGATTTACAAGGTCTGTAGAGCCAACAGGAAAAAAAAAAAGTGTGTGTGTGTCTTCTAATATTCTAATGATTTTTATTAATCAAGTAGTCATATTCAAAACTATACATTGGAGTTAAAATATTGTGGAGGAGAGGGGATACAAACCCCACTCTTCTTACCCATCTTGTATTCTGGCTGTTGGCCAGAATACATTGTTTATAAGTTCCGGAACGCTCAAGAGAGAACATGTTCACAGTCGTTAAGAGAGTATAGTCCTAGATGAAGACCATCCTCAAGTGAAGTAACATTAGCAGATCAAGAATATGAAGGATTATATATGAGATTAGAGCTACCATAGACTGTATCAAGAAACGATATTAATAGTAATTTATTTTTATTCACTTATAAAATTTATTTTCATATTAAATACAATATTTAGTGTATCAATGTAATTTATTAGATCCTTAAGAATTCACAGTCCACAAACCATTTAAGCCCACGGCATCCATAAAATTTATCATTACATATAGAAGTTTTAATTCAATATTTCTTTATTTAATAATATCAGAACATTTCGCTTGCCCTAAACAGGGACAGAAAATTCAATCATTGTTTAGTTAATATAATCATATCGGAACAAAACATATATGTGTATATATATATATATATATATATATATATATATATATATATATATATATATACACTGTAACATATCTCTTATATTTTATAAATAATAATAATAAAACCTCGTGGCAGACCACTTTATACCATTGGGATACTTCATAAATAAATAACAGATTATTAAATAATAAAAAAAAATTATAAGAGCATTAATATATTTATTTATCTCAGGTGTGGGTTACTGACAATCAGATCAACTCAGACAAACTATTTTAAAATAAAGTCAAATATGGATTGGCAAGCTAACCTTTTTTCTATATATACTGTTTCTTCCTTTGTTGCACTGAATTCATTTGTCTTCAAACACTTTCCAAAGTTCTGCCAAACAACTCTTCCAAATTGGTAACACTATTGCTGGGTTTATACACCTTGTTATAATATATACTCATTTATATATTCATATTCATTTATTTAACTTAGTTGTTCTTCACTTGTTGGCTTATATTAGGTGCATAAATTAGATTAATAAAAATAAATATCAAGTGTTCGAGATTTTCCACCTAAATTGGTTATTCGTCCCACTGTGCAACAGTTGTGAGTTAGAAGGTAGTCTGGCATGCTATCAGTGGGAATGCCTGTTGTCACTTGACTGTCAGTAGTTTATTAAATACATAAATAAAGACTAGTAGCAATAATAATTTTCTTTTATATTGCTCAAAACATTGTATTAATAATATTCCAATTACTTTAATTAATAGGCATAGGATATTGGTTTTAAATTTTAATAAAATGTTTTAACTAAATATTTGCATTTTGAAGTGTCTTAAAAATTTCCAACTCATTAGGTTTTGAAATTGTTAAATAAAGCTTCCCCATTCTACTCCTCTCCATCATTGCCATTAAGCTTGACTTTAAATTTCATTTCATTTAAAAATATATAAGCAATTTGAACTTTTTTTTTTTTAGAGAGCTGTCCTTAAATTTTTGCTTAGTTGGAAACTAGAAGAATTATTAGCAAAATGGAAATGACAGATCCTTTGAAAGAAATTTCTGCTAAAGACATTCCTGATATGTTGTTCAGACTGAGGAATAATTTTCCATTAGCTATTCATGTAGGTTTTACTTAAATATTTATTGTGGTTAACTATTTAGTATATTTTGAGTGTTTGGAGATATACATACATTCACTACTAGCACGAAATATAAAGTTATCAACTATTACTAATTTTTTTATAAATATATAACAAAATGTTTGAAGGCTCATGAATATTTGCGGACCATTCTCAAGTGGAAGAGAAAGAATCCTGACCTTCAGATGGCAATTTTGGCTCCAGAAGGAAATTATAAACTTGGAATAATCTTTTTCACCTTAATTGGAGTAAGTGTAGAACTTACTAAATATGATTTAAAAATTATTGTTTTATTATGTTACAATAATCCTTCATTAATACAAATTCAGTGGAGCACTTTATGGTGAAATAATTTGTGTTGACTTGAATTCTATCTAAATGAAAAAAAAACTGATGAGTTACGGACATCACATTACTTTCACTTTCCACTGTACTTTTAGTAGAAAACAATAATTCTTTATATCCTGTTTTTTCTAAAGGAGAAACAAACTTGAGATATGTATTTTTATGTATAAAGCTAGTAAAGTCTGAAGATAAAATCTTTTATATAAAAGAATGTACCAATAAGATTAAATTTCCACTTCACATCATGGTACACATGATATTATTCAAAAACACAACAGTAATTTTATATAGTCTAAATAAAATAAAAACTTCTGATGTTTTTTTTTTTTAATATGTTGAGAGATATTACAATCTGTAACAATTAAGGACATTTATGATAGTGTTCTGAGATCACATTCACACTCTATGTACAATAAATTAAAATAAATAATACAGACAAACAATAATACTAAAATTTGATAATGTTATAGAGTTTTTAAAATTAGATTTAAAACAAGGTTTTGGGTAAACAATGAGATCAGACACAACCTTAATAAAAAGATTGTTTTAAAGGTAAATATCCTCATTATAAAGAAAAATAGGTGAGTTCTTTATCGGTATATATAAGATAAAATTAAATGATAAATTAAATAAAAATGTTGAGGTTAAAATTAAGAAACCATTTAATAAAGAAAATTCAGAAAATGACTTAAACAAACTTTTATCACAAGCAATAATATTAGTCAAAAAGGTAAATTATTTCTCAATGTAACAAAATCTCAAATTATTAATAAACATAAAATTAAATTAGTTGAAAATAAAACAAATATATTATAAATAATAATATAATTCCAAATAACATTTTTAAAGTTTAAGTGAAAATGTAAATCTATTTCCTTAAGATAAAAAAAAAGATAGTATTATTATGATAACAGATTTAGATTAATATCAAGAAACATGAAAATGAGTGAAAACCATAAACATATACATTCAATGAAATAATATCACCAGAAAAATGAGGAACTTTATAGATAGACATAGAAAGAACCAAATAAAAAACCAAGAAATATTTGGAATGTGGGAGAAAGACTTGGATGCATTATTGAAATTTAAAAAGAAGAACTCATACCTATTAGTGAAATCAGATAAAACTAAAAAAAAGTAATAATAAACAATAAAAAAGTAAGACAAAAAATAGTATAGTAAAAAAAACATTAAATTAAGATAAAGACAATAAAAAATTAATAACTAACCCATTGCTGGAAAAAAATAAGCTAATGAAAATGTAGAAGAAAAAAATAAATATAGACTACAAAATAATGAAAATTTTTATTAACATTTCAACCACCCTAGAATACTTTGGCATGTCAAACTTTACTAAGTAAATATGACCAATTGTAAATATTTTTAGGGACTAAGAAAATGATATTGCATATGTGAATGAAGTGAAAGATAAACTTAAAACAATAAAAATTGGAAAATATGAGATAATGATAAGTGATGACGTGATGCCAATTTTTTAAAAATATTCCTCTCTAGGTAGTTAATAAAATTGTAAAAGAAATTTTAAAAGAGACAACTATAAAAGACAAGACATTTTTTTTAGTAAGTATAAACATTTGTTCAGAAAATGTAATATTTAAATACAATGGTGGAATTTATCATCACCTTTTTGGATATGGAAGGGAATTTATCAATTTTTTTATTGGGTCTGGTATTAAATAAAGTTAATTATAAACACTGCAGTAGAAAAATTTGGTATAAAAATGGAAGTTATGTTCAAATATATAAACATTTTTTGTTTTAGAAATAAGACAGAAAATATAAAATGCTAGAAATATTAAATAATTACCACAATATATTAAAATCTACAGTGAAACTCGAAAAAGAAGGGAAATTAGACATGTTGATTATAAAAAAATAAAATAAAATGAACATGGAATGAAACAGCAAGAAATGAGCAACAACATAATATTCAAAACATATAGTGTAATAATTAATTATTAAAAAAAAATAATAGAAATGACAGATTTAAATAGAATGAGTTTCTTAAAGTTACTAATATGTCTGCTGATCAGTTAATATATTACTATTTTCATCCCCAATTGCTGTTATTACAGTTTCCAAACATTTATTACACTATTTATTTATACCTCTATACATATTACATTATTTTCAACTCTATTATTTCTACTATTTTAATTTTATGGTACTCTTTTGTTCTGTTTTTTTTTTTTTTTTTTTTTTTTTTTTTTTTTTGAGTAATTTAATTTTTTCAGTTTTGAAGGCTCAGAAGTTGTCAAAGATGAAGTAGAATTTTTTTTAGGAATATTTAGAGCTTTTGATCAATCAGCTTTTCCTTTTCCATAAATATTTAGACACTCTTCATCGAAACAGGGTTTGTTTTCTTATTTTCCAAGACACCAGTTACCAATCTCATTAATATTCTTGATCCATATTTATAACTGTTCAATATCATCAGAATGGTTATCATTAGGTTCTAAAGGTTCAAAGCTATTTTAACTTCTTGCTCGATCTGATTTCTAATGGCTACATTTGTATTTTCTCCAGATTAAAATCTTCTGAAGAGAAACTGTTTTCTTTTCTATTTTTTCCAATTAAGTATTTTTCAAGTTTCACAATTACTAATTCATGATGTGGCGCATATTCTGCATTGTGGATGGCAATCTATTCTTAATTAAAAACACAGTTTCCAAACAATGATTTCTGCTCCCTCCTTACCAAATAGTATATACTCCCTCCTTCCCTGATTCAAATAGTATATACCTTCCCTTATCAAGTCCTGCTCTGGCTAGTGAACCTCTTGTTAAGCTACAATATTTAAATTATACTCCTTGATCTCATACGCAACTGAGTTTTACCAACCTGCTGTTTCTAAACTTCTTATGTTTCTTCTCCTAATTCTTTCACTTTTAATTTTCAGCTTGTGCCATAAATCTCCTCAAGCAGTCTACAAAGATTTTTTTCATTAAAAAAAAAACCTGTACCACTACAACCGATGAAGGGCCTAGGAAAAGCACTTTTTCTCGGTCAACGATTGTGCAAGGGATGATTTGACCGACCATTGACCGCTCAACCATCAGATTTTCTCCTTTAATTATTTATTCAATTAAGTGTGCCCACTTTACAGAGTGCTGGGTGTGCCCCAGGAGGGTCTCCGGGCCCAGGGTTGTCCCACAGCCAATGAAACAGATTAAATAATTTTTCTGCCATGAGCTGGGATTTGAGCCTCTTGAGCATTGGAAGTTCTGACCACTGAGCTACCCCACTCCCATTTACCATTTTACCAACCTGCTATTTCTAAACTGCTTATGTTACTTCTCCTTATTCTTAAACTTCTAATTTTCAACTTGTGCCATAAATCTCCTCATCCAGTCCAAGAATTTTTTTTTATTAAACTATCTTTAAAAGTTTAATTAGTTATTACCATGATAAGAAATAAAAAAATTGATCATTTTGATTATTAACAAAAATATTGTTAGCGCTTCATTCATTTTTCATAAAATAGAAGCTAAGCTAGTAAGAGCTGAAACTATAAAACTTTTTTGTAATCAATTCCAAGTAACTGGTATAACACTCATTACCACTGAGTCTATCTATCTGAAGAAATTTTCAGGGATTACAATGGTTGATATTTAGATGAGCCAATACCAATGGTATGAAATTGTATAGACTTCTGCTTAGGCTTGTGTTTTTCCTTGAAAATACTGTACTTAAAAAATGGCTTTTTTCATAAATTTTATTCTCATATTTATTCAGTTAACAGTCCTTAAGATATTCATATAACAAGTAGTAAACCAATAGAATTAGTGGGGAAGCTAAATGTTAAGCTCAACATTTTTTAATATTTGTATTTAAATTTGCAGGATGAATTTAATGGATCAATTTATTGCCACGATAAAACTGAGACAACAGCTTTGCAAAAAGCGCTAATGACGTCCAAAAAAGTTCCATTTAACAATTATAAAATGGTTTTACTAACTTGCATGACAAATAAGTCATTTGAAGCTCTAAAACCAGTTTTACATTGCAGAACCCATAATGACTTAGTATTTTGGTTACCTTGGTACTGTGCCAGAGAAATGGAAGTTCAGTGAGTATATAAATATATATTTAACTTGAATTAAATTTTACGTACAATATATAGGGGAAATATGTATACCTTGGGTCACTTTTTTCAGTCCCCCGTAACTTTTAAAATAACAATGATTTTTAAAAGTTCAAAATAGAGTTTGATTTGTCATGTTTTGAAGATAAACAATTTTATCATCAGATTTTGACTATACAAAAAAATCTATTTTTAAAAATAATAAATGACCCAAGGTACAATAATATACTTGTTTGTACCTTGGGTCACTACTTGTAACTTGGGCTACGACTTGTACCTTGGGAAATATTTGTTATAATAGTTATTAAACAATAAGTATCACTAAAATAATTGTAAAATGCATTTAATTATAGGTTTAATAAGCCAGAATACATTAAAAAAAAAATATTTAGCTCATTGACTTCTCAAAAAAAGAACAGGGAATGATAATCCACCATGTCTCCCTTGTAATTTTGGTGGATGAAAACAAACAATATCTTCGCCTTGTACTTCACACTCATCTAGTTCTTGAAAACATTCAAAGGACTTG